TGGGGATGACCTGCAGAAGGAGGAGCGGGGTGTGAGAGAGGGGGCGATGGGGTGTAGAGGGTAAGGATGGAGGGTTATTACTCTTATATAAGTAATGGAAGGGAGTGGAATAGAGTTGTTGCGGAAGGAAGTAGAGTAGAAAGTAACAGAATACAAAAAGAAAATAACATGAAGGAATATGGCAGATAAGCAGAAATACGAAATAGTAACAGGAAGGGAATACAAAAAAACATAAAAAAGTAACGAGAAAGTAATACAGTAGAGTAAAAAAATAATAGAGTAGAGTAAAACAAAGTTATGCAGTAGCTATAGAAAATAATATGTAGAGTAAAAGTACGCAATACGATATAATACCAGAAAGTACCAAAACGTAAAAAAAAAGGGTAGGTAATGCAACAGAATCACAGAAAGTAATACAAAAGCAAGCAGTTTCATTTCCAAAGTACCATTCTAGCTGATGGCTTATGCGTATCGCCTTTTTCCCTCTGCACTTCAATCCCTTCAGCAACAGGTACTTGTCGTTTTTTTAAGGCTTTTGCATCGACTATCATTTCCACTGCCACTGAATACTTCCTGCTTCTGTTACTAATACTATTGATGCTATTACTGTTGTTAGCGCTGCTGCTGCTACAACTCCTACTATTTTAGAAGCATGTAAACGGACAGCAAGTCAACAGCAAAGAAATCTATTGCAACAAATGGAATTAAACTAGGTTATATTATATCAATATATGCGACTTCTACTACCACAACTGTTACTAAATAATAATATTAACAATAATATCACCGCTATCACTAATACTGCTACTACCACTACTACTACTACTACTACTATATACTTACTATTCATACAATAATGCGACTGCTACTACCATCATCGCTACTACTACTACTGCTGCTACTACAACTGCTATTACTACTACTACAGCGCTACAACTGCTAATTGCTACTACAACTGCTACTACCATAATAAATAATGATTACTAATAATAAAATAATAAATAATAAACAATAATAACAATAACAATATTTTTTATTATCATAAATAAAAAAATAAATAAATAGAAAACATAAAATCAATAACAAAAACAAAACAAAACAAATCAACAACAAAGCAAAGCATAAAAAACAACAACAACAACAAACAACGACAACAAACAACCCCACCTGTATATTATAGACGAGTCTGGACAAGCTCGAGATCCCATTGGTCACATCGAAGACGAAATGGTCTGACGTCACGTTCGTCCCGATGCCTACGTACTGGACTCGGCCTTCGTTAATGAGCGCCTGGTCGAACACGCTCACCTGAGGAGGAGGAGAGAGAGGAGAGAGGGAGTTATTTGGGATGGTCATTTTTTCTTTCTTTTCGTTTCTTTTCCTTTTTATTCTTTTTTTCTTTATATCCTCTTTTTCTTTTTCTAATTTTCTTTTCCTTTTTATTTTATTCGTGTGTGTCCGCACATAAGATTAACTATGTAGAATGACAGACATACATATTGTACATATAAAGTAAACATATGAAAACACAGACTAACAATAAAAAAAAGAATAAAGAAAAAACAAATAAAAATACAACCCACAACAAACCCACCTCAAAAAAGCACGCATTTCACCCCCCTCCCCTCACCCACCCAACCTCCCCCCTTATGCCCTCCCCACCCCCACTCGAAGCAGATTAAGGCAACATAAGACCAATTTTCCGCCTCGTTTCCGCCCAGCGTTAGGCTCGGATCTCGTTTCGCACGCCTATCATGGCCACGAACCACAGGAAAAAAAGAAAAAGAAAAAAAAAAAAAAAAGAAAAAAAAGAAACGGCAATTTTGCATACAGTATGAAGTGGAATTCTATAGAAAAGAGTAAGGTGTGGGGATGCAATTGTTGATTATGACAGTCTGGATTCCAGCCAGCCTAGAGAACAGGCAGGCTTCCGCAGCGGATTCTCAACAACAGATCACATCCACACGCTCACCCAAATAAGAGAAAAAAGTAAACGAATATAGGAATCCCCTGTGTATGGCATTCATCGATTATGAAAAGGCATTTGACTCTGTACAAATACCAGCAGTATTAGGTGCTATTCAACAACAGGGAGTTGAGGAGGTATATTGTAATATATTGGAAGATATATACAAAGATGGGACAGCAACCATCAAACTCCACACAGAAACCGATAAAATACCAATTAAAAAAGGCGTTAGACAGAGCGACACCATCTCACCAAAGCTGTTTACAGCCTGCCTCGAGGAAATATTCAAGAAACTAGAATGGGAAGGGAAGGGTATCAAAATAGGAGACGAACACCTAAACAACCTAAGATTTGCAGACGACATTGTTCTCCTTAGTGAATCAGCTGATGAACTGCAGCAATTAATAAACGATTTGAATAGAGAAAGCCTAAAAGTCGGACTTAAAATGAACAAGAAAAAGACTAAGGTTATGTTCAACAGCAGAGTCCCACTCAAACAAATACATGTACAAGGCGAAGCACTAGAGGTAG